TTAATTTTAAGAAGGAAGTTTGAGTAAAAAAACTTAAATTTAAAATAAATGACTTGGAAGCCAAATAAAGGGAGCTCTGAACTTTTTGTTTATTAACATTTATACCACTTATAAGGTAAATGCGTAATATGAAAGAAAAAGCCCCTCTTTTGTATGCTGTAGCCTGGCTGTGTGTAGTGTGTGTACACCATTAGTGTTTGTTAGCTGTGTGTAGGGTGTGGTAATTTTAATCTGTTCATGACCATACTGGTACTTATTCCCTCCCTTCCTGCTTACCTGTCTGCAACAGGCAGGCAGGCAGGTAAGATCTCTGGTGGACCAGTAGGGGCTAAAAATCCCTGGTGGTCCGAGTGGATTGGGGGGTACAGGAATTTATTATTAGGGTATGCCCCCTCTGTTTGCAGTCTTTAGTAACATCGCCCGCATGGTCCGGCACTCAATGGGTCAGAGCAAAGCGCCGGTGGCTGGGAGAGCATTTCTTTTTTGGCAGCCGCTGCAACCCAGGGCTGCTGCTCCAGATGGCCATAGAGGGAGGTGTGGAGCCCACAGCACACTGCGAAACACCCCCCTGGACACCCAAGAGCTGCGCCCAACCCCTCTCAGATCGCCCCAGGACTGGCGAGTGCAGAAGATGCAGCCTCTCCTCCGGCTCCCCACGGCCTCGCCTGCTCTTCCCTCCTTCCCATCGGGAGAAACTTTGGCATGGAGGGGCAACCCCCTCACCCAAGGGCTGCACCACGCCATTGGGAGCATGGGAGAGTCCGGAGATGTGAGTTCTCCAGCACTCAGCGTCAGAGCAAAGAGCAGATCCACAGTGGCTCCTTGGTTTGCTAAAACGGGGAGGGCAGGGAGCCACGCGCCACCCATTCCCCAGGCCTCCGACTTTGCAACGCAGCCACTGTCCTGAGCACGCTGCGCCTGGAGGAGGAAGAGTTAAGCGCTGGTGTATGTCTGTATGCGCACACCCACACACGCCTTTGTGCGGTATTCCTCCCCTGCCGCTCGGTGATTTTGAGAGAGAGAGTGGGCTTGGAACAGGAAAGCCAGGAGCTCCCGGGCAGAGCGGGGCACCTCCCTCCACACTGAGCCTCTGACTTTGCCCGGGCTGAGGGACCGCACAGTCTGGAGAGGTGAGCGTCACGTGTGTGTGTATGTGCGTGTGTTTTTGTGTTGTTTTTATTCCTCCCCCCCCCCCCCCCTCGGCCTCTGAAGGCTGCTCTGTGCTGTTGGGAGGCCAGGGACCCGAGTTCTGCAGCAGCCTTGCCGGGGCAGCGCAGTGCGGCACGCAACGCTCACCGTTGCAAAGTCGGAGGCCTGGGGAATGGGTGGCGCACGGCTCCTTGCCCACCCCGTTTTAGCAAACCGAGCCACTGCGGATCTGCTCTTTGCGCTTTGCTCTGACACTGAGTGCTGGAGAACTCGCGTCTCCAGACTCTCCCATGCTCCCAGCGGTGTGGTGCAGCCCTCGGGTGAGAGGGCTGCCCCTCCGCACCAAAGTTTCTCCCAATGGGAAGGAGGGAGGAGTGGGAGAGGCCGCAGGGAGCCGGAGGAGAGGCTGCGTCTTCTGTGCTCGCCAGTCCTGGGGTGATCTGAGGGGGGTCAGGTGCAGCTCTTGGTGAGCAGCCAGGGGGGCACTGCGCAGCACGCTGTGGGCTCCGCACCTGTGGACATCTGGAGCAGCAGCGATGGGTTGCGGCGGCTGCCAAAAAAGAAATGCTCTCTCAGCCCGGCTGCTTGAGGTGAGAAGCTGCAGGGCATATTGGCATATAACACGCAGCTAGAATTTCAGCCCCAAATTTTAGGGAAAAAAGTGTGTGTTATATGGTATATACAAGAAAAAAAACTAAATATATTCTAAATTTTGTGAAAATAAATATCACAATGAGCCACCAGGTTTCAAAACATCATGTAATATTTCAACCACCTATCTGTTCCTTCCTTGCTGCAAAAAGGAATTGGCGGGGGGTGGGAGAAATCTCTTTATAATATTTTGTGATGAAATCTTAACCAGCCTTTTTCAACATGGAACAACTGATTCTTTTTGTTGTTGTTTAATTCTCTGAAAAGGAACGTTAATCCTATCTGGAGTTTGCATAGATGGCCACAATCAGAAAGACTATTTGTGCCCAAGAATATCACAAAGGAATTATCCCTGAGATTGAAGGTCAATGTAAAGCAGAATCTTCTCATCACAAATTCAGATTAGGGATAATAAAATGCTCCTTCCCTACTTGTGGATTACCTTGAGATGCCAAGGATTTAGTTAATCAGAATGTAGTACATTTGAAAAGGTAGAAAATGAACCTTCCTCCACTCACACTTTTTAGAAATAGTTTTTAATTTTTATCTACGAAACAAGACGAATGTTCTAATACCACTTCTTTAATACTGCTACATGGGAGGCATTTACTATATTTCCACTCCATTTTTTCCCCTTTCTTTCAAGCAGGCAGATTATGCTGTCCTCAACTAAAAAGATTAAGGGGTTATCAACCAAGGCATCTGAAAGACGACTAGAAGGGATTTAAAAAAAAAAATATTTGAAAACAAACTACTAATAAATTGGATGATATAAGACTAGACATTTTCCCACAATAACATGGAGATTTAATTTATACTCATTCTTAAATAAACATGTAAATACTGTAGCTGTACTCTTAAAACAATTTTGTTTTAACATAATCAAATTCAGGGTTTTGAGGATCAGAAATGAGCATTACTATAGAGAACATGGTCACCCATATTTTTTCAGCAGTTTGCAATGTTTATTTCAAAAAAAAAAAGTACATAATTTCTACTAAACATTAGCAAGATTAGGGAATGGATGCTGGGGAAGCAAATTAAGTCTACTCATTTAATATTGCTCAATGCATCCCTGCACATACATATATACATAAATAGGGGCTGAAAAAGAATATGTTTCTCTTTTCAGAATCA